TACCTGTCCTTTCCTCTGGGTCCTTGGACCTTACACAAGTCAAAGTGTCCTGCTTTTTTTCCTCTCTCCAGCTCTGCACCTGGATCTGCCAGGACCTCCCTGGCCTTTTCAGCTTCCCCTGCCTGGGGCACATCTTTTATTATGCAAAGTAGCCACACTCCCTCTCTGGGCACTCCATTTGGGTCCAGAACCAGGAAAAGATTTTCTAGCCTCTGGATAACCTTTAACAAATCTTCACATACCCACAAGATAGCCCCACATTTACAACATAGCTGTGGTCCAAGCTTCTGTGTGGCTGGCCTCTTTTTAGTTACAGGTTTTATAATCCATTGTGTAACCCACGTGACTATTGCTAACCCCATTAAGAGTATGGGGTTTATTTGCCTTCTCTCCTTGGTTCCTAGCAGGTGCTCCTGGATTTGGGAATCAGAGCCCACCACAGAGGCAGAGGGAACAGCACTGCTTTCCCAGACCCACATCCCCAAGGCTGTGGTTCATTTATCTGGGTGGACTACACCAGTTTGTTGCCAGAGTTTTCTCTGGGTCTCTTGCACTATCAGGCAAACCATACAACATATCTTTATGTACATTTATTATTATTGTGGGGAGGAGGGGAGTTAGTTACAAAGAAACAAACACCCAGTGCCTAGCTCTGCACAGCTCAGCTACACACTGCCCAGCTCTGCACTGTGGCTCAGAGCCTGCCATTCCAGATCACTCCTGTGGCATGCCCATAGTCACTGCTAGCTTTCACCCATGGCCCAGGGGCCAGCAGTCTCACCCCAGGTCCATAAGTGCCAGGCCATTTTTTTCTTGAGTATGCCTGGCTGCTGTGCCCCCTTTGCATTAGTTTCAGATGGCTCCACAAGCCCCTCTTTTCGCAGTTAACTCTCCGCAGTCAATTCTCCGCAGCAGGCCCCATTCCTTGGAGGAACTAGGACCCCTGGGGAACACAACCTCCCACTAGCATTATGCTGAGAACCAAACCTTAACCACATGGACGTTTAAGAAACTTTCCGGATACGTTTTGCAGTTCATACTTTCTCCACCTGTCTTTATTGTCTAATTGTCTTTTGTCTATTGTCTATTGTCTTTCCTGTCTTTCTTCTCCTGTCTTTATTGTCTAATTTCCCAATATCACCTTTTTTTCCATGGTAGTAAGAGAAGTGGGTTAATGATATGTCATTTTCTTAACAGGCTCTGGTGAAAAGAGGGATTGTAGAGATGCTCTTTACCTCAGATGATAAGAATGAAATTAGAAGTGGCTTCATCAAAGGAGGTATTAGTTTGCTCTTATTTCCATAGGACAATTGAACTCTTAGCCAGCCAATATAAATTTGTCAACAAACATCAGAGAGAACCAAACGTGTCTGTGATCCCCTTTCTAATCTCCATTGAGACGGATCCTAGAGATTTAATATGACATAAGATGAGGTTCAACATCAAAGCACAGAGTTCAAAATACTATGTGTATCATTTTTATTCTTTAAACAGAGCAGTAATGGAACTCTTCATCCTCAGTACATATGTTCACTTTTAAATTCATTTCCATGGCTAGGAATCTGGGTTGGTGCAGGACATGGAAAAGTTCTAGTCCTAGCATCCTATAGTCTTAGACTAAGTGTAGATACTTAGAAGAACCTGAAAAATGAATGACTCAGTAGAATCACTTGGTGACAGTGGTATGGGAAAATTCCAAGGTCTGAGCATGTAGGTGGGTGCAGGGAACATCTGTGAGAGAATCGTTAGTACAGACTGGCGCTGCTGTGGACTGCTGTCTTCTGCTTTTTGGTAGTTCTCTTCATATTATCATGTCCTAGAAAGTGCTAAGCATGGAGCTAGAAACCTGCATTTAGTTCCTAGGTATAATTATGGCAGACGTCTTTGGCCTGGTCCACCTCCCTCTACAAAGTGTTGATAAGTTTAACTGCTTCTGTAAGTGCTCTGTGATGTGGCAATAGCTATGACATCTTTCATGGGTTGCAAAGTGGGTTATAAGCAGTATCTTCCTATCCTTTCTGCTCAGCCTGCCCCCCACCCACCATGGCCCTGATGGTCCTGTCACAGTGTTTCAATGGCATCCTTTTCTCTACAGCATTGGCCACTGTCAATCTGAAATCATTTCAGAAGGATTCCTTTACTCAGCTTTATCAAGTGCAGGTAAGATTTTTCTAGCAATGAAGTTTTGCCTGTTCTCCTCCAAGACCTCCCTACTGGTGCACTTACTGTTTAGGGAACATGGGATGTGACAAGGAGAACACCCATCTCACCCTGAGCCTTGTGGGGGATTTTACCTCTTGGTAAGAACAGTGAGAAGGAACTTTCTTCTGCCATCACCACCTGTGGGTCGTCATTGAGATTATTGTGGAAAGTGTGAGGGGTTTATGTCAGATGAGAAGTAAATATGATCAGAGGGAGCTAATGATTTCCTTCCTCCAAGAGGACACAATTGGGATACTCATAGATGGATAACCTTCAGTTGCTTGAGCCTTTAGTAGAACTTAAGGATTCTATGGCTTGTTGCTTTACTGAAAATCCAGGGAGATGTTGGTAGAAAGAAATGGGTTTAGTCCAGACCAACTTGAGGGATGGAGAGATGGCTCAGAGGTTGCATAGTGTCTAGCCATCACAAGGCAGCTAACAACTACCTTTAACTCCAGTTCCAGGGAATCCAATGCCCTCTTCTGGCCTCCACTAGTATTGCATGACATGGGTACACTTACATGTAGGCAAAACACTCATACATATAAATTTTAAAAAATTTTATTTATTATTTTTATTTTATGTGTATGAATGTATTGCTTGCATGTATGTAAGTGCACTTGTGTCCTGCAATGCCCATGGAGGTCAGAAGAGGGTGTCAGATCCCCTGAAACTGGAGTTATGGACAGTTGTTAGCCACCATGTGGGTGCTGGAAATTGAACCTGGGTCCTCTGAACAAGCAGCCGGTGCTCTTAACTGCTGAGCCATCGCTTCAGCATGGCATAAAATTGAAATAAAAAATAGACCAGCTTTGAGGAGAGTAGACTTTTCTGTCTGAAACCTTCATTAGGGGATGGGAGAGGGAAGCAAGATTAGGTGTTGAGGCTTTTGTGGAATAACGGGTGGAAAATTTCTGAACTTGATGGACTCTTTTTCCTGTGTAAACAGTTTCTCCTTTCTTTTTGAAAGTTAAAGTTTACCTGGACCTCCGTCTCCATTTTTCTTTTCAGATAAACACACTTTTTTTTTTTTTCAGATACATTTATGTTAGTTGTTGATGAGGGAGATAACTTAGTTATCTTGTCTTTGGAATAAATACTTAAGACCTCTCTCCATGTGCAGATCCAGGAAGGATCTGAGGAGGGGTTAGAAGCACCTTCCTCTAGTGGGGTTTACTTTCTTCTGTAGTGATGGATTCAGGACTTTATTCTTAGGAATGTCAATGAGGTATTGGCAATTTATAGTCTATCATAGAGTCCTTTCTACTTTCCCCTTTAAAAGTTTTCATTATTCTTTTTCTGATTTCCTTATTTCAACCATTAATTTCACTTTCTGACGTAGTAGTACTGAATGACATTACAATTTAATAAAATGAGTTCATAAAACATTAAAAACTTTTATTATTAGTATTGTGTATGTGGGGTGTGCAGGCGCACATCAGAAGACAGCTTTGTGGACTTGGTTCTTTCCTTCCACATTTGCTTGAGTTCCAGAAATCAAACTAAGGTTGTCAAGCTTGCATGGCAAGTGCTTTTTTTACTCACTGAGCCATTTCATTGACATCATTTCCACTTTTTAACCAGCTGTTTGTCAGCCCCTTAAACTTTCTGGGTTTTTAATAGCACCTTTTCTCCAGAGTAAAAGAGGTGGAGGAGCTAATCCTTTCGATGTGAAAACCCAGGGAGAGCAAACCAATATAAAGGCATTAATATTTGGCTCAATCACTATACATAATGTGTAACCCTGTCTTTATCTTCTAATTTAAAGGGAGGGGGTAATTATCACAGAGGCTAGAAAGGCTCTTTCATACATGATTTTGAAGAGACAGAGGTCTGCTTTGAGGTAACATTATCATTTAGAGCTGAGTCATAGGTAAAGCTTAGTAGGTCTTTTGCTAAGGGTTAGCCAGTATCATTTTTAAAAAAGAAATCTATTTTTATTTTATGTGTATAACTGTTTTGTCTGTAAGTGCACTGTGTGTGTGCAGTACTCTCAGAGGTTAGAAGAGGGCATCAGATCCCCCTTAGAACTGGAGTTATAGACAGTTGTGAGCCACTATGTTGGTGCTGGGAGGACCTCTGTAAGAGCAGAAAATACTTAAAAAATTTTTCTACTTGATTTTTATGTGCATGTCATAAAACATATCTTGATCATATTTAGATCCCCACCCCTATCTGCCCCCTTTATAGCCCCTCTGACACCAGATGGACAGCAAAAACTCTTAACAGCTCAGTCACCTCTCCAGTCCCACCAGTGTCATTTTTTGGTGGGGGGGACAGGGTGTTTCTGTAGCCTGGTTTCCTGGAACCAGCTAGTGTATTAAAATGAAAGAAAGAAGAAAGAAAGAAAGAAAGAAAGAAAGAAAGAAAGAAAGAAAGAAAGGAAAAGAAAAAATATGATTCATCTTTTTTATTTTCCCTATGAATTGGGGTTTATATGATAGATGCAGTTTTTAGATTATTTGTAAATCTTTGCTCACCATTTATGTGACTTCAGAAACAAAAGATTGCTTTTTACCACTTTGAATAGAGCTTGGCACTTCAAACCTAGGAATAAGTTCCTTGAGCAAGAGTTTATCTTAATTGTTTTCTCAATTCTAATAGAATATCTGACTAGCCTGAAAAAGTGTCCACAAATACTAACAAAAAGTTAAAATTATCTGCTGTTTTGGCCATGTGAGTGTTTATTTGCCAGTCTCCACGGCACAAAGCCCTTTTATATTGCACTCCCTTCAGAGGTGTGCTTGGTTTGGTTTTAGGTTAGTTACTTTTAGGACACAAATAACATCCTTGTGTAATCTTTTTAAGTGGTCTTAAAGGTGTGGCCTCTTCAAGTACGGCTATATTAGTTAGTGCATCCATGCCATAACACATCCCTTCACGTGTGTGTTTTAAAACTGGATGCATCAGGGCTTCAGGGATGAAAACCATACTTCTGGTCATTAAGTTCCATAATGCATGAGAGTCCATGTTAATGAAGCTCCAACTCTCAGGCTTATTCTTTATCCTATTTCATGCAATGAAAGTTTAACTTAAGCAAGTCCATGTGAGATACCAAGGCCCCGATAAGCTGACTTTCACTAGCAGCTTCTTTAGTGGATCTGTCAGCTTGCCAGCTCTCTGATTTCCATTAGCTCTATGGAGGTCAAACTTCTGGTGCCCTGAGCGGTAGATTATAGTTACTTGGACCAAGAAATCAAAGGCCTCAAGTAGAGAGAATATTTCCATTGTATGTTTAGTGCTCTTATTTCCTGGATAGCAATTCTGTTCCTTTCCAAATAGCTCCATGTATATGCACTATCAGGAAGGTTTGTTTGAAATCAGTGTAGACCGTTGTTTTGGGTCGTTGTAAAATCCTATTAGTTCAATCAATTCAGCCTTTTGTGCAATGGTGCCAATTGTAGTTCATGGCTTCTATACCTTATCCATATCCAGCTTAGCAGCATCTCTTTTCCACAAAGCTGTTCCCATTTGTTGGAAGTTCCTAGTTGTAAGCAAACTGCCAGGGCTTGATCTTATAAACACAGTTTGATGGAATAAACCACACGGAGATTTCCAAGAAGTTGTATACTAGATTCAAGTCAGTTTAAAAAAAATGTATTTAAAAAAGATATCCTTTATTTTTATTTTATGTGTCTGAGTGTTTTGTCTGTGTGTATGTAAGCATACCATATGTGTGCCTGGTGCCCAGGGAGGCTAGAAGAGAAGAAGGAGTCAGATCCTCTGGAACTGAGTTAAAGATGGGTGTTAGCTGCAATGTGGGTACTAGGAACTGAACCTAGATACTCTGGCAGAACAGTAAGTGCTCTAAACCACTGAGCTATCTCTGTTGACAGTATACTCATTACACGTAAGATAAAATAAAAATAAATAAAATATTAAAAATAATTCAGTTGAGGGCACCACCAGGTGTACAAAAGGAACACTCCTAAACCTGCCTTGCTTCTTACAAACACTAGGGCTGTTAACTTTACTTTAATACTGTTATGTGCTCATCAAATGCAGTCCAACATAAGCTCTGAACCTAGCCTTCTCAGGGCTTCATAAGGAAATTTTGTTTTATTTAAAGTCAGGTGCTGAAATTTAGCAAAATCTGACTATGTCTAGGAACTCTCAGTAGTCTTCTGTTCACGGGGACTTTAGTGTTGGTAATCTCTTGTTTCCGAATGGACATCAAGCTCTGTTTTCCTTGCTTTAATTGACATCCGAAGTAATCAGCTCTCTGCTTACAAATAGATAGCTTTGCTGGCTGACACTTTATAGCCACAATGTGTCAGGATTCAGCACTAAAATGGTGTTAGGTAGACATTTTGCATAATCATGGATTGCTAACAGTAAATCATCAGTGTATTGCAGCAAGCCCCCTTCATCTTCTAAGTGCAAATCCCTGAAGTCTTTGGCTAAAATCTTACCAGAGATGGTAGGGGAGCTTTTTTAACATGGCATTTTTATCCTTTGCATACAATGTATTTTGATCATTTTCATGTCCTATTCCTTCCAGTAACCTTTCCAGGATCTCATTTCCCTACCCTCCTCCCAACTCTGTACTCCCCTTTAAAAAAATAATCCATAGAGTCCAATTTGTGCTGCCCACATACTCATGGGTGTGAGAACATCCACTGGAGCTTGGTTGACCCACCAGGGTCTATACCCTTAAAGTTAAAGAAAACTGATTTTCCCTCCTCCAGTAGCCAATAGCTCCTTAACTTGGGGTAGGGGGCTCATGAGCCCCTCTGCCCTCCATGCTGGAATGATGGACTTGCTCTTGTGCAGGTCTGACACAGGCAACCAAGGAAAAAGTTTGAGCCCCTTCAGCAACGTAACTCAGCCATGTTAGAGGAAGGCTGTTGGTATTGGATGCTTCTCATTCAAAAGCAAATAACAATTTGGCTTTGTCTTCAAGTGGGATACAAAAACAAAAACAATAAATAAGAAACATTCTTTAAAACAAACAATAA